CACCCTCAGAGACCATCCCACCCTTTGGTGTGCGACACACTTCTCATGTGACATATGGTTGTCTTGTTGATTGCTTTGTTGCTCTCAGACTGAGGCTACTGCCTCCGACGTTTCTAGGATTTAGCTGTTCTGCTTTTGCTGTTCTTAGGACTTATACACTAGTCAGTTGTTACCAGACTGAGGCTAGTGCCTCCAATATTCTAGGATCTAGTTGTCACTACTTTTTGCTTACCTAGGACATGTATGTTAGTTAGTTGCTCCTACTTTCACTTAGGCTGTTAGTTGTGACATTGCTGTTTTGTGACATTTTATATCATAGGTTGCATCGCATGGACTCAGCATGGAGCTTGCTCTGCATCCTAGACTACTCAGGTTTTCTTTTCTTTGGTAGAGTTCCGCTTCTTGGCGGAAGCATGTTTGTATCTAGGCGATCCATCACAGGCCGAGGATCGTGTAGCGGACCTCGGGTTGGCCTGTGAGACCAGCCCCTTGGCCTGTTCTCACAGGCATGTGTTATCTTCGGGGTAGGCCAGTCCAGGCCGCTACCTCTGTCGATACCAGCCAGTCCAGTCCAGTCCCGTCAGTCCGCTGGGGTATACCCCAGCCATTGTCTGTTTTCAGTCTCATTCCTCACTTGCACATTTTGGAGTACGTGCGTTGGAGTCTTGCGTAGGGAGCTGCGTTGTGCCATCTTGCTCCCCCTTCTTCCTCCATCTCCATCTCTGTCACTAGCGGAGCACCACACCTGGTGGGTCCGCCACAAGATCGAACCGGATGTTCCTTAGTTCAGGGGAGGTTTTCTCTGCATACGTTTCATGTTTTTTTTAATTTGTTCCAAACGCTTCTTTGACTGCCACTGCCACATAGGGCAAGGCAGCCACCGGAACGTACATGCAGCGTATCCAGAAAAATCTAAACCTGTGAGCTTCCCTCCACTCGAATAACTCGTTCTCCGTCATCCAGGGATGAAAAAGGATTTTGTATTCCCTACCATCCAGCGTGACTACGTCTTCTTTTTTCCTGAGCAACCACTGTGCTATCCTTTTATCCGAAGCCACGTAGGTTGATAAGTTAAACCCTTCATTATGAAAAACTCCTCTTCTAGGAGGTGCGTCTAGCAATCCACTTTTTGCCCAAGCATTCTTGTAAAACCTGGTGAGTCTGATTTTGACTTTTACTGGCAGGGATTTCGAGTTTTCCCCAAAAAAGACCGAAACTGCATTCTCGAGCAACCATTTCTCCTGTACCGCATAGAGGTTGGGATTTACTACCACACGAACGTAGTCTTCTCCAACTTCTATGCTTTTTTATTTCAGCTCTTCAGGGAGGAGACCTTCAGTATAGCACTCCGCAAGGATTCCCTTAATTCTGTCTTTTTCCCCTTGGGCAATTGGAGAGAACTCCGACTGTTCTGGGGGGACAGGGGGTGCGGAGGCCACCATTGAAAACGGAAGGTCAGGTTGATTAAGGACCCTCGAAAGCCGCCCTTCCTCATCGCTCTTCTTTCCCCTCTCCTATCTCCTCTGTTCGGCAAATTGCCCAGTCGCAGTCCAGGGAGCGCATCGGATTCATTTTTGAATTTTGGTATGCGATCCTGAGCGTTGTACTTTTCGTTCTCTTTTTCTTCTAAAAAAAATTCTTTTTGTGACTTAACCTCCACAACTTTCCTTTGCTCCAGTGCCCGTCGCAGTCCGTTCAGGTTCGTCTTGAGTATAATTACGGTTAGTATTCGACAATTAACGAAAAAACGAAGAGCTGGTACATTTTTGTCTCCAACTGCGCTGCTTTAGCCCAAGACATTGAAGTTTGAGGGAGGGAGGGAGGGAGGGAGGGAAGGAGGTAGAGGAGGGAGGGGGAGAGGGAGGGAGGGAGACTGCGAGAGGTAGCAGTTCGTGGTCGAAGTCCACGGAGATTGGAATTAGGGAGGGAGGGAGGGGGGGGAGGGAGAGGAGGGAGACGAGGGAGAGGAGGGAGGGAGAACTCTCTCTCTCTCTGTGCTTGCTCGTTGGTAGCGGGCACTGGCAGAGAAGGATTCCAGGCGGCGAAGTATATCTCTCACAGTCTGCCACCTGTCAAGCTGTGAAACCTCACCGAGCGAGGCGGTCACTGCGGACTAGACGGCTATGACGAGCTAGAGAGCCAAAGTGGAGGCAGGCCAGGCGGTGAAGGGAATCGAGGACAGGCTGCAACGTGTCATTCCGTGGAAGCCCACCGAGACAGGCTCAATGGTGTGAGCCGTGATTATAACAGCCAGACGAGCCAGACGAGGGCATACTCGCAATTTGATATACATCGAGGTGGGGAACACGAGGGTGAGTGGGAGATTTCGTCGCTCGAGAGTATCCACCTATGCACTCTCGTGCATAATGTTGGATCGGTCGAGGGCATATTAGCAATTTGACCTCGCCATTTACTTCGGTGGGGGGCAGCAGGCACAGCCGCGTCCGTAAGAACAAGTTCGATCTATGTGCTCTCGTGCATAATGTTGTCGCAGACGGGGGCATATTCGCAATTTGATCTTCTCGATCTACATCGGCGGCCCCAGACACAGCCTTCTCCGGAAGAAGAAGTCCGATCTCGGCTGGTACGATCTTGCATAATGTTGAAGCAGCAATTTGATCTTCTCGATCTACGTATGCCGCCGCAGGCACAGCCTCCTCCGGGACAAGAAGACCGATCTCCTCTGTACTCTCTTGCATAAGTTTGGAGCCGACGAGGGGATATTTGCAAATTGTCCTTGATCTACTTGGGCGCCAGCAGCCAGAGGCTCCTCCAGATTGAAGAAGTCCGATCTCTGCTGTACTCGCTTGAGTAATGTTGGAGCAGACAAGGTCATATTAGCAAATTCATCTCCAAGTACCTCGTCTGCAGCAAGCACAACCTCATCTGGAAGAAGAAGAAGAAGAAGGAGAAGGACTGTAGCTCTATCGCTCCGCCGTTCTGTCTGCATTCTACCTGGTAATTCATTTGTCCGGGGCTTATCAATGCCGATTTTTTTTTTATTTTTATTTTTAGTTTTTAGTTTTTAGTTTTTGACGACGCCTTTTCCGTGTGTTTAGGAGTGCTTACTATGCTCCCCGCGTAATTACTGACTACTGTACATCTAATCACAATAGTATTAATTATACTCCTGAGTCTTGACAGCTTGGTAATCGTCCTGATTGTCTTCAATTGGGCACCATGGCTACTGCTGCGGTACTGACGATGCGCCCCGCCGACGACTTGCTAGGCTCGGCGCGCTCCAGGAGGATGGTTACTCCCTCAACGATCTCCTCGACGACGTCGAAGGGTACTGCGATCATTAAGGATCATCAGAGTAATCCTAATCACAAGACTCCAATCGTGACCGTCCGTTATTCGTCGGCAGATGCCGAGTTCGAGTCCCAGTTTCCCGCCATCGCGGCGACCAATGATGACGGAGCTCGATTGCCCACGCGGCATCTTCTCTCTTCTGCTGCTGCTGCTGCTGCTGCTTCTACGGCGAGAACCGCGCTGGTGGTAGGGGACCACCATAGCGATCGACAGGAGGGGGGGGCTGTAATAGTGGAAGCTATGGACTGTAGGGGGGGGAAAGAAGGGGTTCTCGACGGCTATAGCCAGGAACGAGCCACGTCAGCGGCCGTGCCGATGTGGCCTCCTCCTTGTTCAGCGGAGGAGGGAGGGGAAACCCACCCCCCCCTCCCCTCGGATAGCAGCAGTAGTCGTTCGTCTTCCGACGATCTTCCCCGTTTGCCTGAGAATGGTAATTCGTTTTTCCTAATTAGGATCGCGCTAGGGGTAGCGATGCTATTTTTGGGTTTTTGGCGGGAGACTCTTATCCGGGTGCGGAGCACGTGGACTAGCTCTCTCGTGCTCTTTGCCGGCTTTAGGCGGGGACTGCGCCTGCGGGTGCAGCGCACCTGGTCGGCATTTGGCAGCAGCAGCAGCAGCAGCAGTAGCAGTAGCAGATACAGTCCCATCCTCTCCGGGACTCTGTATGCTGTCATGTCCTGCACTATGGTGTTGATGAACAAGCAGGTCTTGTCGGGATACCAATTCAATGCGATCAACAGTCTGCTGCTCTTCCAGAACCTGATTAGCGTGCTGACGGTGCTGGCCGGGCGAGGCCTGGGGTTGTTCGCCGTGGAGCCGCTGACCGCGAAGCTGTGCCGAGTCTGGATCCCGGTCAACGCGTTGTTCGTCGCCATGCTGCTGTCGGGATTCTACAGTCTGGACTACCTCACGGTCCCGATGGCGACGATCCTCAAGAACCTGACCAACGTGTCCAACGCGGCGGGGGACTGGATCTTCAACGGCGCGCAACAGAGCGCCGGAGTCTGGGGAGCGGTGGGGCTCATCATCCTCTCCTCTTATTGTGGGGGTGTGACCGACCTTCACTTCAATCTTAGGGGCTATGTTTGGCAGATCAGCAACTGCCTGCTTGCTTCGTCTTATTCCTTGTACCTCAAGCGAACGATGGACAAGGCTAAATCGGCGACAGTCTCAGGGGAGCTCAGTAAGATCTCCATGGTGATGCTCAACAACACGCTGTCCCTTCCCTTCGGGATCGCGCTGGTTCTTCTGACAGGGGAGACAAGAGAGTTGGCCTCCTCTGTTGCTGTAAGGAACCCTTATTTCTGGATAGCCGCCACCGTAACGGGGTTTGTCGGGGTGATCTTAAACTTTGCGGTGATGTGGTTCTTGCACGCAACGAGCCCGACGACTGTCGGGGTCGTGAGCTCGCTGAGCAAGATCCCGACATCCGTTCTGGGGCTGGTGTTGTTCCCCGCCAGAACCACGGTCTATAACCTGCTAAGTATAGCATTCGGTCTTGTGGCGGGAATGCTATTCACTAAGGCCAGACTCAACCAGCAGCGGCAAGCGTCATCATCTGGTAAGGATTTGCCGCGTTGAGGGGTTAAAAAACGAGATTTAGCCGCCCCCCCCCCCCCCGCGCCCCCCCTTCTGACTGTGAAAGCCTGCTCATGCTACTGCTAGCGGCTTGGTTCTTTTTTGGTGCAAGATGAGCATTTAGTATTGTGCGCAGGCGGGACAGAGAATCTGGCAATCGTCGCACACCGTCGATCATGTTATCGCTCATTCGATCCGCTCGAACCGTTCGATCCGCTTCGACTTTTCGATCCATTTGATTGTTCCAATCCGATCGATTGGTCCGTTCTGATTGGTCTATCCGATCGATCGGTCTATCTGTTCGATACGTTTGATTGGTCTAATCCGACCGATCGTTCTATCTGGTCACAAACCGTTCGGTCCTATTCTCTTCAACCTTTCGATCCGCTTGATTGGTCTATATCTGTTCGATCCGTTCGATCGGTTCGTTCCTATCCTCTTTCAAGCTTTCAACTCGGTCCGTGCGATGCTATCCTGTTCAACCTGTCGACTCGTTCGATTGGTCTATACACGATCGATTGGTCCATCTGTTCGATACGTCCGCTCCATTCTGTCCGTTTCGATCCTATCGTCTTCAGCCTTTCGATCAGTTTGATTGGTCTAATACACGATCGATTGGCCTATCTGTTCCATCCGTTCGATCAGCCTTTTGATCCGTTTGATTGGTTTATCTGTTTGGTCCGTCTGCTGGATCCTATTCTCTTCAAGCTCTCGATCCGCTCGATTGGTCTTGTCCAATCCAATCGATCCGTCTATCGATTCCCTTATCGATTCTCTTTTCGATCGATCGATCGGCGTGCGAAACCTATCTTGTTCAAGCTTTTGAGCCCTTCGATTGGTCTATCCGATCGAGCGACGCGCTTTTCGATCGATCGATCCGCGTTCCAAACCAATCTTATTCAAGCTTTCGATACCTTCGATTGGTCTATCGGATCGATCGATAGGTCTATCGGATCGATCGATCCGTCTATCGGTCGGTCCGATAGGTCTATCTGTGCGATCCGTTGCTCGGTCTGATCAATACGATGACAGGTTGAAGCAGCATCGAAAGGATGGTCTGATCGGTATCTCATCTTCACGTGGGATGATTGCTAATACGTATTCTCTGAAGCTTCTCCGGCGCAAGCTGGAACATGGAGGGGCAGTAGTTATGTATCCGTACATCTGGCTGGGCCTAAGCCCTCCTCTGTGCAATCGAAGACTCCAACCGTTGACCTCGGCGTCAAGAGCCAAGTCTCGTAACCACTACCCGTCTTCACCCGAATACAACGTACCGTTATTATACCTGTATTTGAGGCAATATTGAGTCTAGATACAGCAATAATGAACGTACGTTGTATTCCGGGGAAGACGGCAGGAGTTGTACATTGTGGCTGACGGCAAAAATATGTTTTTGTGTTTTCTGTCGTTCAAACTTGTTGAGACAGCACTTGTCAGCGTCAGAAGGATGGTCTGATCGGTATCTCATCTTCAGATGGTCTGATCGGTATCTCATCTTCAGGTGCGATGATTGCTAATACGTATGCTCTGAGGCTCTTCTTCGGCCCAAGCTCGAACATGCACGAGCAGTTGTACATTGTGACTTGGATGGAGAAAAACGTTTTTGGTTTTCTGTCTTCGAACGTTTGACACCTAAAAACGTTTTTGGTTTTCTGTCTTCTTCGAACGTTTAACACCGCACCTGTGAGGTTTTTTTTTGTCGTCAGTAGTGATCATCATTTGTCGTAATAATCGGGAATTAGAAATATATATTTTATTACTTTTTTTTTTTTTTTTTTTTTTTTTTTATTTTTTTTTTGTAATATAGGGAATTTTAAATTTTTTTTTTTTTTTTTTTTTTTTTTTTTTTTTTTTTTTTTTAACTTTGTTGTTGCCTGTATTCATTTCACCCCATATGGGCCAAATTTAAAGGTGTTGCAGACCCCAAATTTTGCACCCTGTAAAACGCTTTCTCGCCGTTTTAGCCCCCAAATTTGCACCCTAGCTGGGCTGGCAACCCCCGTTGTGTGCTAAGACGGCGAGAAAGTGTTTCACAGGGGTGCAAAAATGACGCCAAAGGTCATTTTGGGGCTTGCTGCTGCACCTTTTGTTGGTTTTGGGGGGAAACGAATACAAAGGTTTTGTCGCCGGGGGGGTCGGGGTTTGGTGATGACTTTTCGCCCCCAAAAAAGGGAGAGGG